ACAGTTGTAGAAATTGCTGGCGATTTGGCCACATCCAGCGAAATATTGCAGAATCTATCTCCGAAATTGCCCTAGTTCTGTGTGCCGATGGACCCATTCAAACTTTGTCTTGCATTCGATTCTCCCTTCTTGCTTAACTGTCAGAGGCTCACCCTTCGTTACTCTCGCGTTGTCAGGTCTATTTAACAGAGCGGGATAATCGTTACCTCAAAGAAGGTAAGAAAGGTCTCCCTTATGCCATGGCAGTTTCTCATCTCGCCTCCAAGGGTGATCCACGTGTTTCTTATCTCCCGTGTTTTCAAAACGTCCACCCACTTCTGGTATCCCATCTTCTCCACACTACTTGGTTACCCTCTCCCCATACTCTCTCCTGTATCTAATCCTTTTGCTTGTCCTCGGCTCCGACGTCCCTACTTCAACGCCTCAGTCTAATCTCGCTTCTTCGAGTTCTCTTTACAAGCCTCAGATCGACGGAGACCTGTACGACACTCCTCCCAATGTCCTCTACTTCTCAAAAGTCAAAAAAGGTCCGTAAACAACTCCTAACCCATCTTCCACTCCTCATTTTACCCTCCCTGTCTCTGTGTCCCTAGTTCTTCCCTTCTCACGGCTCGGTTACAAGTGCAGAGGTTCAACCTCCTCCTCGTAATGTACCTTCCTTCTATGTTTCCTCCAAAGTTTCTTCCTCTTCTGCCACCACCCAGGTTCACTGTCTCTTCTGGCCCTGACCAAGTTCTCCAGTTCCCTCCCCTTTCGCACCCCCCTACCTCTGGTACAGTCAATTCAGTTCAATCTTTATAATCCTCCCCCTACCATTCCCAATCTTTTCTCCACATACGAATCTCTGATTCCGAAACACTGAGCATAACTGAATTTTATTGCAGAGACCACGATTGCATTACAATAAATGGACACCTGAGTCCACCTTCCGCTCTTTCTCTTCTCTGCTCCATTCTGCGCAATCTTTCTTCACAGCGCACGTTTCTTCGCGGCTTGAAACATTTTCCACTGCCTCGCATGTGGACTTTTTCTAACCCTTCTAGTCCGTAGGAAAGCCCTTACCTGCGGGATTTCAAGTATTTTATCATTGCCCAATCATGGGCCTTGTACAGTGGAATATACGCGGCTCCGGGGTACATCGGGGTGAGCTTCAGATGTTACTATACCAGTTTGCCCATGTGTGTTTGCTTTACAGGAAGCAAAATTTACACTCGGCTGTTATTTTCACATTCAGGCTATAAGTAATTGTAATTCTTCAGATCCTTTTCCTGATGGGACCTTTATGAAAGTGCCCTCTTCTCCGCACTTGATATTCGTTACCCATCAGCTATTTGTTCATACTTCGCTGCATTTCACAGACGCCCGTTATCCACTACATCGGTGGTATACGCTCTGTTCTTTATATCTCTCTCTTCTCGGGCATTAATTATTCGGATTTTGCCTTCCCTTTTTTTCGTCATTACACCACGATTCTGCTGACTCCCTGGTGATTATAAATGCCCAACCAATTCCTATGGGGGGGTCTCACTGTGATTCCCGTGGAATTCAGTTAGCGGCTTTTTTCTTGCCAACCCAACCCCTCCATGTTTAAAATACAGGTTACTCACACCCATTTTGCTCCTCGGACTAATACTATCTCTTGCAGTCGATCTCTCAGTTTGCTCACTTCTCCGCCGCATTAAGACTTCACTTGGTCTGTTATCCATGGACTTACCTGACAGTGATATTTCCCAATCATTCTTACTTCCCCTTCATATTAGCCACCTCTTCGCTCCCCACGCTGGCAATTTAATCGGGCAAATTGGAACTTTACTCACACCTGACTGTTTTTTTAAGAGGGTTCCTTCTTCGTTCCTCCATCGATGAGCTTTTACACCTACTTCTGTCCCCGTTTTCACGCAGCTTCTCATTGTCTATTACCCCAAACTTCGGGCAGGCCTCATTCTTTCAGAAATGCGTTGCGTTTGGTGGTCTCCTGCTTGTGCTCGCTGACAGTAGTTTGAAACGCGCTGCGATGGGGCAGGTACCGGTACAATAGAACCACAGAGCACTCCTTGATTTTAAACAGATGCGTGCGAGCGCTCGCGTGTCATCGTGACGCTAAACGCACTTGCTGGCGAGATTATGTCTCCACCATCACCTCTGCTTCCTCTATGAGTGCAGTATGGAAAAAATGTACGAACAAAAAAAAAATTGAGTGGTAAATTATTCTCCTGACCCGGCTCCTGTTCTGGGGGTGCCGGTGTTGATATTAGAAAACCCACTAGATGTTGCAATGGAAATGGCACAATCATCTGGTCCGTATTTCTCAGCGGACTCCAATCTCATTGCACTTTTCTTTCTCAAAGCTCTGCCAGAGAGTTAGCACCTTGGACTTTTCTTCTCTCAGAGAAGAACAGTATAATGTGCCTTTTACCTTCAAGAACTGGAGGCAACACTCTCAGCTTGTCGATCATCGGCAGTCTGGGCCCGACGGTCCTTCATATTCGTTTGCTCAACATTTTCATCAGTCAGCCTTGCAGTCTTATTACGCCTTTACAATCTTATTGGTCACAAGGAGTCTTCCACAGCTGTGGAAATCCGCAATTGTTCTCCTTTCCGCAACCAGGCACTACGGGGACATGAAACCTCCACTATCGTCCAAGTGCTCTTACCAGTGCAGTTTGCAAAGTTATGGAAACGCCTAGTAAATAGACGTTTAGTGTGGTTTTTAGAGACACACAAACCGTCTCTCAACTCGTCAATATGTTCGTAAGGGACGTTCTACCATAGACCCCTTTAATACGCTTGGATACGTATGTTCGTAATGTCCCTTTTTGCGAATAACCACTAGTTATTGCATATTTTGACCTTGAGAAAAGGCATATGACACAACTTGGAGGTATAATATTTTGCCCAAGCCCATCCTTAGGCCCTTCGAGGCAATCTTCCCATCCTTCTTAAGAACTTTTTAACTACAGGCCATTTTCCGTGTTCGGGTTAATTAAAAATGTGCTCCCCCGGACTTTATCCAGTGCGGTGTCCCCAGGGAGGTGTTTCTGAGCACAAACACTTTTTCTCCTTGCTATTATGATTTGGCCTCTAGTCTTCCATCAAATATTTGGTCATCACTCTATGTTGATGACTGTGCTATTGCCTGTGAGGCGCTGATTGTCACCTCCTTACAGTTTCTCTCCAACATGAGTCGACCGTGTTTCCAATTGGGCCACCACACGTGGATTTAAATTTTCCAGCACTAAAAACCACCAAAACACTTTCATAGAAGCTCTGTAATCTCGATCTTCTTTGTACCTCTATGGCTCCCCGTATCCCTGAACGGGATACAGTCAAGTATCTGGGCTTCTCTTTGATCGTTAGGTTATCCTGGAAACCTCACATTATCTCTCTGAGGCAATCTGTCACAGCCGGCTGAACCTTCTTATAACCTTGCTCTTCTTTCGTGGGGGCTGACGTTAACCCTCCTGTGCCTACATTCCACCTTATTTTATACGAACTGTTTGATTATGGTGACCCAGATCTATTCGCGGATCTCCGGTACTCTCTCTAGCCTTAACCATTCATCACAAGGTGACGTTTATGCCTTGGTGCCTTCCGCTCTTCCCTGTGAGAGCCTCTATGCAGAAGTGAACGTTCCATCCTTTTCGATCGCCCGTGATGCCTTGCCTGCGCTTACTATGTACGCTCTCATGATCACCGCAATCCTTCCATTTATGAATGGTCACTGATATTGTGACATTCTTTATTTGTTCGACGCCCAGTATACTCGTCCTTCTCTCTCGCCTTCATTCGTCTGTCTTTCTTCTAATACCACTTCTATGTACATGTAGCATCTTCCCTTGTGCCTACCCCCAGGGGAAGTTCCAGACTGTTCGGTCTGTTCTTTCTCCCTCCTTGCTCGAAAGCCCAATGTCTACGGTCGCTTCCCGCTTCTTTTTCTTGACCACTTTCACTCTCATTCTCATGCCAGTGCTGTGCTACACAGATGGCTCCTAAGTCTTATTGACGGCGTTAGGATTCGCATGCTGTGTTTCCGTGCAAGCGTCGTACAAGGGCATTTACTATCTTCGGCTCGTATTTTTACTGCTGAATTATATTGCCATCCTTACAGCACTAATCGTATTGCATCTTATGCCGGTGTCATCTGTTGTGGTTGTCTCGACACCCTTAGTGCTTTACAGGTATACCAAAAATTTTGATACAACTCACCCCTTACGTCCTCCGTATCAACTTTGGTACGGACCGCATCTTACCAAGCATAAAGATATTGTTTTTTGTTGGGTCCTGGTCTGTTGTCGTACAGGGCAATGAACAGGCAGACACTGCTGCGCGGTCAGCAGGACATGACCCTAACAGTTTATTATAGTGTATTCCATTTACGGACTATTTTGCTGCAATATCTTCCCCACCTTCTCACCGTTGCAAACATACGTTTGGTCTACTATGCTCGGGCAACAAATTAAGGTCTATTATACCGAGGTTATAGGTCACTGGCCGTCTTCGTATCCACAATGTCGAGGTTGGGAGACTACTCTTCTCCCGGACTTAGTTTGGCCATACTCGTCTTATCATGGATATCTCATGGTGAGGCGTCTTGCTCCTCTCTGTGTGAATTGCCAATGCTCATTATTCAGTCAGCCCCTTTGTTGGACTGCCACTTATCAACGAGCACGCAGAATTTACCATCTGTTCGTCAGTCTTCGCTCCGCCTGCTCTCTCTTTACCTTCCTTCTCGTGATGGACCACCTTTTCAATCCGGACTCTCTCATTGACTTTTGACACGAGGACTTACTTCACAAATTTCTTTTACCTTCAGACCTTTCTACTTCAATTCTGCTACCTTCTTCCCCGTCTATCCCCTGCCCCGCTGTTTTTCTTTAACCTGCTGTTCATCCCCCTCCCTTCTGCTCCAATTCCCTTGCTTTCCATCCCTACCCTTGCAGCTTGTATCAGATTGTGGCTTAAGCGTCTTTTTGATTATAATAATAATAATATAATTATTAACCTTAGCTCATTTCAAGTTTTTCAATATTTGCAACACAACCAGACTTGGTTAACTGCCTGGTGACCCTAGTGACTCTTGTTAATAGTGACCTACACCTGTCGCCAGACTTGGTTTACTGCCTGGTGACTTGTTAATAGTGACCTACACAACCACACCTATCATAACCTGTAGCAGCCATTAATGCCATATTCTTCAAGAAAGGTCAAGTACACAAAGTCTGGAATGTGATACATCAGAGAATTTAAAAGTTTGGTTTGGTACATCAACACTGATATAATCTTCACTGATTTGTACTATAATATTTTGTCTAATTGTTATTTGAATTTATCCCTTAGATTTTCACACACAGTTAGTTGGGATGGATCATAAGTTCTGAAGACCAGCTTCATTTGAACTTTCAGTGTATAAATTAGCTCTTAAAGCAAATATGTTTACCAAATGGGGTTGTAAATTTTATGAAAAAGAAAACACTGGTAATTAGCTAAGTCACTGATAAGCAAATTATAAGAAATAATTAATAAAAATATATATTTCTATAATAGGTAAAAAATGATAACATTGTTTAAATTCTACAAATGTACTGTAATGTTATCTTCTGTCACTTGGGTCAATCTTAAGAGGTAATTTACTTGGCAGCAATGACACCAAAGAACAATATTCAAACCTGGTTTAACTAATTCCATCACAACTACAACATTTACTCTACTGAGGCTCCATCTCTGTGCAGTATGTCCAGCATGGGTATAGTGCTTGTCATTTTGTTAACAATAATAACTACTGAGACTCACCTGATCTCTCTGTCATGGATTGTGTCAGAATACTCAATGGTTAGTGTCACGTTGTGCTTCTTGAGTGAGTGTTGAATTTCCTCCAGTCGACTGTGTTGTGTTCTGTTGATACAGTTACATTACATGTGTTGTTTAATGTATAAATAATTTACATTTATTATATGGTGAAATATGTATAGGAAAAAAGTCATTAATTTTAACTTAAATATCTGGAATCCTTACTTTTGGAAAAAAATGGATCAATGTAGGGTGAAATATAGAAGAGAGCAATGCAAGACATTAAAGCTACTGCATCTCTAGAAAGAATTATGAAAGACAAGAATTATCAAGAATATGAAGAAAATGTTTCTTGTCTTAATGAAGAAGTAATGAGAGAAATCTAAATTTCAAGAAACTAAAGCTAAGTAAATGTATTTAGTAATGACAGTAACAAAAGTAAAGTCCCCAACACAACTAGTAATAACAGTAGCAATAGTCCTTAACATAACTAATAAGAATAGTAAGGAGTCCCTAACATAACTAGTAATAATAGTAAGGAGTCCCTGACATAACTAGTAGCAATAGTAAAGAGTCCCTAACATAACTAGTAGCAATAGTAAGGAGTCCCTAGCCATCTAGTAGCAATAGTAAAGAGTCCCTAACATAACATAGTAAAGAGTCCCTAACATAACTAGTAGCAATAGTAAGGAGTCCCTAGCCATCTAGTAGCAATAGTAAGAGAGTCCCTAACATAACTAGTAGCAATAGTAAGGAGTCCCTAGCCATCTAGTAGCAATAGTAAAGAGTCCCTAACATAACTAGTAGCAATAGTAAGGAGTCCTAAACCAACTAGTAGCAATAGTAAGGAGTCCCTAGCCTAACTAGTAATGCTTCAGCCAAAATCATTGTACCTGTGATCTCCGGGGTCGCGTGTTGTTTGGAGGACAATAAGCTTCAGACATTCAGCTTTATGGACCAGTAATTCACAAAACTGGAGGAAATTATATATCTGAAACAGCAGAATAATGCTTGTACACTTAAGATTTTCATAACAATGAACCTATGTACATTGATAACCCTGAAAAACTATACTAATAGAAGAACATTTTTCCCACAACATTTTGTGAAAGGAATGCAAGAAAACCAGTTAGCTGGACTTGAACCCTGAAGGTGGGAATAGAGCTGTATGACCCTTGTGGGTTGAGGGCTTAGTTATGATTATAATAATAATAATGGAGGTGGGAAGCACAGTGCCTGCACTCTAAAGGAAGGGCGGGGATATCTGCTGTTTGGAAGAACATCTGAACTGTCGTATCTGTACGCCTCTCGCAAGACAGCAATAGTGTGAATGATGATGACAGAAGTGTTTCTTTTTTGGGTCACCGTCTTGGTGCAAGATGGCCAGTGTGAAAAAAAAAAAAAACATGCACCTACTAATGTGATATGTGCAGCATATTTCATGAAGTGCTAAACCAAGTTGGTCATGATATGAACTAGAGATGATTTAGTCCTCCATGTGGTCATCACTGCCCAGTTTCTGACCACTCAGGTTGTTGGTGACTGCCTTTATGCTGCAGTTCCTGTTAACTCTTCTCAGAAAGTTTCATAATCCACAGTGCTAGTCAAAGATCCTACTCTCCCATTTTTGCCTTTAATATTTCCTTATTCATAATTGGTGACATTAGTATACGAGAATTTATAATTGGTGACATTAGTGTAGGATAATTTATAATTGGTGACATTAGTGTTTTGGATAATGAGCACATCACTTGGTTTGTCAAATTAAGGGCTTACGGTTGTGGCCACTAACTGGATAAGCAACCATAAAGACAACCTCACCCATGTACATATTGTGCCTCTCTGTCCTAGCTTCTCCCCTTTTCCCCTCCCACACACATACTTGCTAATACACCTCTCATGCCCCACAGATGAATCTCCCATCAGCTGCTGTGAGATTCATCCATAAAAACTTGAATTTGTGGTCACAGTGGTGGCCTGTGCTAACCTCCCTATGGTGAATGTTATTGTAGCCAGCTGGTCCAGTGCCTTACACACTGACCTGCAGTTTTATGACTCACTTGCCATGGGTTCAACCCCTACCCATTCCATGGTTTGCATATTTTCTTGACATGAAGGAAAACGAAACAAAATAAAATGTAAGAAATTTAAAATAATAAGTACATTCAGTATAACAGGTAATGTGTGTGGCAGAACTGCTAACAGAACTGATAAAGTCCACAGTGGATATACAGTGGACCCCCGGTTAACGATTTTAATCCGTGCAAGAGGGCTCATCGTTATGCGAAATAATCGTTATGCGAATGAATTTTCCCCATAAGAAATAATGGAAATAAAATTAATCCGTGCAAGACGCCCAAAAGTATGAAAAAAATTTTTTTTTACCACATGAAATGTTAATTTTAATACACACAAACTGAAAAAGGCATGCACAATTACATGACACTTACTTTTATTGAAGATCTGGTGATGATTGATGGGATGGGAGGAGGGGAGAGCATTATCTTCTTACTGTTTAGAAGGGGAATCCCCTTCCATTACGACTTGAGGTAGCAAGTCCTTTTCGGGGTTACTTCCCTTCTTCTTTTAATGCCACTAGGACCAGCTTGAGAGTCACTGGACCTCTGTCGCACAACAAATCTGTCCATAGAGCTCTGTACCTCCCGTTCCTTTACGATTTGTCTAAAATGGGCCACAACATTGTCATTGAAATAGTCACCAGCACGGCTTGCAACAGCTGTGTCAGGGTGATTTTCATCTATAAAGGTTGCAGTTCAACCCACTGTGCACACATTTCCTTAATCTTTGAAGTAGGCACAATGGATTCCACAACTGGCATAGGCTTCTCAGGGTTAGCCCCAAAACCCTTCAAAAATCTTTCTTAATTTCCATACTAATTCTCACCCTTTTTACCACAGGGTTGGCACTAGAAGCTTTCTTGGGGCCCATGGTCACTTATTTTCCAGAAACAGCACCGAAAACACTGTAATAATACGAAATATTCCGAGTGTATGCTTGGATGTTACCGCGGAGGCTGGCTGGTAAACAATGGGACGGCCGGCACATGTGAGGCTGGCTGAGGGCACATTGGACGCGTCTCGGACGAAAATCGGTAAGCGGGTTTTTAATCGGTATGCGCGGCAAAAATTTTGCGATAAAAGTAATCGGTATGCGGAAAAATCGCTATGTGATGCCATCGTTATGCGGGGGTCCACTGTAATGCCATAAACTTCATCCTGTCTCATTTCAAATGAACAAGGTGGAGTTAGGAAGAGACTGAATTGTGTGGATCAAGTGGATGTATTATGGCATGTAAGTGAATAGTACTAAGATAAGAGAGAAGAGGAGTTTGTTGCATTTACGATTTGGAATAAGCAGGAGACAGTGTGGATGAGGGAGTGATGCCACAGTGGATATAATGCCATAAACTGCATACTGTTTCATTTCAAATGAACAAGGAGGATTTAGGAAGAGACCGAATTGTGTGGCTCAAGTGGATGTATTATGGCATGTAAGTGAACAGTACTAAAATAAGAGAGAAAAGGAGTTTTTTACATTTGCGATTTGGAATAAGCAGGAGACAGTGTGGATAAGGGAGTGATGTGGCTGGAGTTCATGCTGTATGAAATGGTGGCAAGTTATAGTTAAAGTACAGTGCCGGCAGCTCTGAAGGAGGGGTGTTAATGTTGCAGTTTTATAACTGGAATGTAAGCACACCTCTGGCAAGATGGTGATGGAGTGAATGATGATGAAAGTCTTTCTTTTATGGGCCACCCTACCTTGGTGGGAAACAGCCGTTGTTAAAAAAAAAAAAATATTATAGTTAAAGCTGTACAATGTTGGTATATGGTTAGGTATAACCAGGAGAAAGAAGAGCAAGAGACCATTTTCAGTTAAGAATAGATGGAGGAAGATCAGGAGAAAACACTGCATTACTATTCTCTCTTTCAAAAAGAAATAAGAAATGGCTGGAATAATGTTAAAGAAAAGGTAGTATGTGTAACAAAAAAGACATTCACCATCACTCATTTCCTAAAAATTGTTTTTTTGTTTTTTTCAACATACCGGCCATCTCCCCCCGAGGCGGAGTAACCCAGAAAAGAAGAAAACTATGAAGTTTATCTTCTTTTCACATTTAGTAATTTATGCAGGAGAAGGGGTTACTAGCCCCTTGCTCCTGGCATTTTTGTCGCCTCTTATGACACGCATGGCTTACGGGGAAAGGATTCCCAAATAAATATGTGGTAACTACAGGTAGGCAGAACACTAAGGTTATTACAGCCTTTATTTATGACAACTCACCCACAGTGAGCTTTATCTAGAACTGGCTAAAGCCACACTGTGGAGCTAATCTTTCGTTGTCTAAACTTACATTAGCTGCAAAGTTTACACTATTGATGTACACTTCAGCAGATATGCTCAGCACTGTGTTCGCCAAGAAATCCTTCTCTGTGAATGAATTTCAAATACTGGTGAATGTGTTTCCTCTTGTTTTGATCATGGCTGGTGTGTTAAAAATAGAACTGAGAACAGATGCCTTCAAACAACATTATAAAATAAATGCTTTCCCTTCTAGAAGTCTCTGTAATTACCTCCTGTCGCCTGTGTCTACCCAGGCTTAGTAATTACCACCTGTCACCTGTGTCTACCCAGGCTTAGTAATTACCACCTGTCACCTGTGTCTACCCAGGCTTAGTAATTACCACCTGTCACCTGTGTCTACCCAGGCTTAGTAATTACACAACAAAATTTCTCTTTTTACCTGATGAGTGGAGCGTATATAAGCATCCTCCACTGTGGCAGATGAGAGGGTTTTGTCAATGAGTGGTTCAAAGATGGTCTTGTAGCTATAACCAGTTGCCCCAGCATCTATCTGGATCTACAAGAGTCAACTGAGAAAATTAATGCTATATTTATTGTAATCAATATACTACAGTTAGAAACAGAAACATCACAAACTAATGTTACAGAATTTCTGCCCATTTCAAAAGCCATATTCAACAAACCACGGAATGAGTGGCTTACACACTGGCCTGGAGTTTTACCACTCATGGGTTCAAACGCCTCTCATTCTGCGGTTTGCTTGCGAAAGTGTTATTACGAATTCGTGAGCCATAGTCAAATTTTTTTTAACCCTTTGACTGTTCTGGTCGTATATATACGCCTTATGAGCCAATGTGTTTGACGTATATACTCAAAAATTCTAGCGGCTTCAAATGAAGCAGGAGAAAGCTGGTAGGCCCACATGTGAGAGAATGAGTCTGTGTGGTCAGTGTGCACAGTATAAAAAAAAATTCTGCAGCACGCAGTGCAAAATGAGAAAAAAAAAACTCCGACTGTATTTTTGGATTAAAACACCGACTTTGGGTGCATTTTTGTATAGTATTTATTGTTGTATTCTTTTTCCTTGGTCTCATTTGATAGAATGGAAAACATATTATAGAAATAGAAGTGATTGTGATTGGTTTTACTATGAAAAGGATCTTGAAATGAAGCTCAAAGTGGCAGAAATGTTTGATTTTTGCCGATGTTCAAGAGTAAACAAATGACGTCATTGTCCAATAAATGTCCAACTAGCCATTCTAATATGCAGTCACGAATGGGTTGACATTATTTATACAATTATTACAATATTGCAGTAGTCTGCATAACAGTAAATCTTCTAATTTTTGTGTGAATAAAAATTCAAAATAGAAGGCAAGAGTATTATAAGGGGCCTGCAGACGTGACTGATGAACAGAGAAAATGTTATTTTAGTGCCAGGAATGTCTGCATTGTTCATTCTGGACCCTATTTTGAAATTGACATATTTTTTAATTTGCATGAAATTGGCCAAATTGCCAATTTCTGACCACTTTATTGGGTAGTTGAAATTGATAAATGGGCAGTTTCTTGTACTCAGTCGACAGAACAAATGGAGTTCTAAAGAAATAGCTATGAGTTTGGTGGACTGGAACAATGAAATTGGCTGAAAATAGGGCTCAAACTGGGTGAAATTGCTGATGCGTAAATGTCGCCGAGGTCGCTAACTTCGCGAGAGCATAATTCCGTAAGTTTTCCATCAAATTTCATACTTTTGGTGTCATTATCATCGGGAAAAGATTCTCAATCATTTCATAAGAAAAAATAATTTTAATTTTTTCAAATATTTTGCGACACCAGGAGACACATCAGGATTTGGGGTTACAACAGTCAAAGGATTAATATATTGTCTCCATGTCTACTAGAGTATCTCCACCTCGTTTTTTAGATACAAACATATGCTTCCTTCTCTCTTTCTAAAACTTATTATTAGTTGTATTCTCAGAAAAACAGGTTGACAATAACTAAGCCATTCTTAAATTTATAATATTTCAATAAGGTTTTAAGTGTACCAACACTATTATATGGGTGTGAGAGAAGGGTTCTGATGCTGGAGGCAGCAGAGATGTCAAGTTTAAGAGAAATGTGTCATGTGAATATCACACAGAGAATTCAGAGTGCAGAAATTAAAAGGCATTGTGGGGTTACCAAGGGCATAATTCAGAGCAGAGGATGGGTTTCTGAGGTGGTTAGAACATGCAGGGAGGATAAACAGGAATAGGTTAGCAAAGAGGGTGTATAAATCTGAGATGAGAGGTTGAATTGGGAGAGGTCATCCTGGAAATGGTTGGAGGGAGGTGGTACAAGGGGCTTTGAGTTTAAGGGGCTTCAGCATCCAGCAGGCTTGTGTGAGCATGTTGAACAGGAGTGAAGGCACTTGGTTTCTAATAGACATGCTGTTGAAGTGTGAGCAAAGTAACTTTTATGAAGAGATTGAAAGAAACTGGTTAGCCAGACTTGAGTACTGGAGATGGTAAAGGTAATGCCTGCACTCTGAAGGAAGAGTGGGGAGGTTGCACTCAGAGAGTAATCTGATTGTGATGTAGATACACTTATGGAAAGATGACAATTGAATGAATGCTAGTGAATATGTTTTCTTCTTTGGGTCAGCTAACCTTGGCAGGAAACAGCCACTGAGTTAAAATAAATATTTAGCACCTCCCTCCCTCTCTCTCTATCCTTTCACTCCAATCACAGTCAAGTGGATAAACAAAGACAATTAAAAAAATTTTCTAGGTAGTAGGTTGGTAAACAGCAACCGACCAGGGAGGTACTACCGTCCTGCCAAGTGAGTGTACAACGATAGCCTGTAATTGTTTTACATGATGGTAGGATTGCTGGTGTCTTTTGTCTGTCTCATAAACATGCAAGATTTCAGGTATGTCTTGCTACTTCTACTTGCATTTAGGTCACACTACACATACATGTACAAGCACATATATACACACACACCCCTCTGGGTTTTCTTCTATTTTCTTTCTAGTTCTTGTTCTTGTTTATTTCCTCTTACCTCCATGGGGAAGTGGAACAGAATTCTTCCTCCGTAAGCCATGCGTGTTGTAAGAGGCGACTAAAATGCCGGGAGCAAGGGGCTAGTAACCCCTTCTCCTGTATATATTACTAAATTTAAAAAGAGAAACTTTAGTTTTTTTTCTTTTGGGCCACCCGCCTCGGTGGGATACGGCTGGTATGTTGAAAGAAAGAATTAAAAAAATTTATATCCTTCCTCTTTTTTTTCAACAGTTACTCAACCTTATAATATCTTTAAAAGTGGTATAAATACTGAGAAAGCCTGATTGATTCTAATAAATAAGAAGGGAAGGAAGCAGTGTGTATTTTCCTTAACCTATATTCATAACCCTTAAAATGGAGTGTACAGTATTTATTAATGCAGTAATTCATGCGAACTCAATATAAAACTTATGGCTAATGCTTTCAACACAATGACCATGTCCCACCATGGTAGAGTGAAACAATACAACAATGAAATACATTACCTGAAGGGTAACATCACTAATTTTGTGCATGCACATGCACACAGGTGCACACATACACATGCATACATCTAGCATAACTAGAAACAGGAATCAATATTAGTACATATAATAATGTTGAATTTGTGCACCTCTGCAAAGACAGTGATTATGTGTGAATGATGGTGAAAGTGTTTCTTTTTTGGGTCACCCTGCCTCGGTGGGAGACCGCCAGCATGTTAAGGGTCACCCTGCCTCAGTGGGAGACCACCAGCGTGTTACAAAAAATACTCTGTGAGCTAGTTTCTAAGTCAATTAGAATCTTACTTTATAAACTATAAAATGAGCTAATCTTAATCTGTCTTATTAGTTTCTCTTAACTTAAAAAACAAAGTACATACAATAAGATGTACAATTCTCTGATATAGAAACAATGCGTCACATCGCACCTGTGTGTGAGTACGTGCCAGTGTGCGTTGCTTGGCTGCTGCTTCCTTCATGGCCTCGGCTCGGGACAGTACTCCTCTGTCTTTTTCCGGAAATGACTTCGTTTACTCTCATCTTGTACCTCTGAAAACATTGACCATTACTGCATTATGACATCAAACTATGAGGTATATATGACAAATAAGCCATAAAATTATGGCAAAAACAATTCAGCATTAACCTGCAATTTGGAAAGGAAATGTTATGTGGCATTTCTGGTATATATTCAATAATGAGAATTGATCAAAAATTTTAAAAAGTTATACAGCAAGTTCTTTAAATAACAAGGACGTGCTAAATCATTAGGGGTCATATAGTGCCTGGGAATGGCAGGTATTCAGATTTGATCCAAAAAAGGGAGATTAAGTCCAGTTCCTTAGATCAAGAGCCCCTCACTAACATCAAGGGATCTACCTCCCCAGAGAGCCATACAACAATTAATACACTATACTGTACTTCATAAAGCTATCACAGCTACATTAAACAGTTTTAAGATTAGACCTTTGAAAATGGTATACCTTTAGCTGCTTGTAGCAGTAAACGTATTCCTTGCTCATAACATGCCAGGGCCTCAGAAAATTTCTTCTCATTATCAAGCTGCACTGCCCTGGTCAAAACTTGAACAGCTGCTGCTTCATGTCCAATTCCAGACATTCCCTAAACTGAAATACAGAACATAATTTGATGAGACATCTTATCGAGTATGGTGTAGTGGTTATTCAATAAAATTATTTAATAAATATTTATTGTTTTCTCCTCAACTGTTAAGTATGGCACCGTATATGTCAGTAAGGAATCGTTCAAGACTCTGTACACCATGTATGTCAGGCCTATACTGGAGTATGCAGCACCAGTTTGAAACCCCACACCTGGTCAAGCATGTCAAGAAATTAGAGAAAGTGCAAAGGTTTGCAACAAGTCTGGTTCTAGAGCTAAGGGAAATGTCCTACAAAGAAAGGTTAAGGGAAATTGGCCTGATGAAACTGGAGGACAAGAGGGTTAGGGGAGACATGGTAACGACATACAAAATACTGAGAGGAATAGGTAAGGTGGACAGAGACAGGATGTTCCAGAGATGGGACACAGAAACAAGGTATCACAATTGGAAGCTGAAGACTCAGATGAGTCAAAAGGATGTTATAGAGTTGTCAGGAAATGGAATAGTCTGACATGTGAGGTAGTGGAGGCAGGAACCATACATAGTTTTGATAAGGTACGATAAATTATTATTATTATTATTATCAAGGGGGAGCGCTAAATCCGTAGGATTATACAGCGCCTGGGGGGGATGTGGAAAGCATTCAGGCTTAATTCAGGGAACCGGAGCACAGATCCAATTCCTTAAATCAAGAGCCCTCACCAACATCAAGGAACCTTCCCTGAGGGGAAGGTACGATAAAGCTCCTGAAGCAGGGAGAGAGAGGACCTAGGAGCAACCAGTGAAGAGGTGGGGCCAGGAGATGAGTTTCGACCCCTGCAACCACAATTAGGTGAGTACACTTAATGGCTTAAGGATCAGTCACCCCCCTCCCCCCACTATGCTTCGCACTTAATGTCTCGCTCAGGTTTACAGTATCAATTTTCTCTTTTCAGTCTTAAAAAGGCTAAACTGATGTTATTATTGCATTCACCATTTACTGACCTGGGTGACTCTTTTTATAGTAAATAATACCTATGCAAACCAAAATGACTTTCACTACTTTTATTATGCTAATTCAGAGTTATATCACTGTATATACTGTAAACCTCTCTCACCAATGTCAGAATTTTATAAAAATTAATCTTGTTATTTAAGTACTGAACTATTCATATAATTGCACAGTTATATAACTTTTTTATTGTGTTCTAATTAAGAAAACCTCACCTAATCTTACTCTAGTGTTTTTTCTTCTAACAAGGTAGAGTAACCCACAAAAAGAGTAAGCACTCTCAACATTATACATTGAATCACTGTCCTGAGGCCTGGTCACAGACCGGGCCGCGGGGGCGTTGACCCCCGGAACTCTCTCCAGGTCTCCAGGTAAACTCCTGGCAGAAGCATATTGATATCACACTTCAGACAGTTCTCAAAAATGTGACATTCCTATCCATCCTTCAGAGTGCAGACACTGTACTTAACACTTCAAGGACTCCAACTTTTCCCTAATTCATATTATTATTATTATAATCAAGGGGGAAGCGCTAAACTCGGAGGATTATACAGCACCTGGGGGGGATGTGGAAGGCATTCAGGCTTAATTCGGGGAACTGGAGCACAGATCCAATTCCCTAAATCAAGAACCCCTCACCAACATCAAGGAACCTTCCTTGAAGGGACTCCAATTCATAATGAAGAAAAAATGGTTAAGACTGTGACAATAATTTTTACAGTGGTAGAGTGGTGAGCCAGCGGAAGGCCTCAGTCAGGTAACCAAAAACTCCAGCTGTGGGTCATCATATAACTAAGACCAGCGTCAGGAAACACTTATCATGTTTCCTGACAAACTTAACTAACCTAACCTTAGCTCATGGACTTAAAGGTTTAGTCTTCAAGGACAAAATTGACCTTAAATAAGGGCGCCATACTGTCCTTATTCCCCCCATGATACAAGTGAGGTGTGATGAGGTGGGAATATCACCTGAGAATGTAGTAAAATAAGAACACAGCCTCCACAACCTCTTCCTTCACTTTAATGTTTACATTCACAAACTTTCTCTACTTCCAGTTTGTACAACCCACAAATTATCTTTTATTTACATCAATATTTGACTAAAATATTTACTTATTTTTACATTTACTCTTAGAACCATGCTATGTAAATAATTTTAAAGTGGCGAGAAAGAGTTTACACATAGTAAAAAAAACTTAAATAACAAAGAAATAACAAATTTTGTATAATACTGAATAATTTAGTAGATTTCTTTAATTCCGCATTACAAAACTCTAAATATAATCAGCAACATTTAAAAAAAATCTCCAAAATTAGAGCATATTTTAGTACTTATTAATAAAAGTGAGGTTATAAGTAATATTATATATAAGTTAAGTGTAAGTTAGTGTAGTTATAATAGAGAGTTAAGTAAGGTTACATGAGGTTGATGTAAGTGATGGTGAACCTGTGAGGTAGTTGACGGTCGCTGGAGGATCGATCGTGGTGTTAACACCCACCTACCTGGTTTTCATCACTAACTACATGTTTAACACCACCTGTCACTCGTCATGTCATCCAAGGTGAGGTGTGAGGGTGTACTGGTGGTGTGGGAGTCAGGGTGTGGTTGTAGGCTAGCTCCTGGGCCAGGGCGACGTCTTACCTACCTTCACACTATACTAACACAACTCCACATAACCTATATATCTTATACCCAATGTTAATCTTTCTTCTACTTATATTAAGCAAAAAAAGTGGGCGTGTAGTGAGGGTGTGGGTGTAGGCTAGCTCCTGGGCCAGGGTCAGGGCGAGGTGTTAGCTACCTTCACACTATACTAACACCACTCCACACACACACACTTATATATACTACACCCAGTGTTAACCTTTCTATTACTTATATCAAGCAGGAAAGTGGGCGTGTAGTGAGGGTGTGGGTGTAGGCTAGCTCCTGGGCCAGGGTCAGGGCGAGGTGTTAGCTACCTTCACACTATACTAACACCACTCCACACACACACTATATATACTACACCCAGTGTTAACCTTTCTATTACTTATATCAAGCAGGAAAGTGGGCGTGTAGTGAGGGTGTGGGTGTAGGCTAGCTCCTGGGCCAGGGTCAGGGCGAGGTGTTAGCTACCTTCACACTATACTAACACCACTCCACACACACACTATATATACTACACCCAGTGTTAACCTTTCTATTACTTATATCAAGCAGGAAAGTGGGCGTGTAGTGAGGGTGTGGGTGGAACACTATCTTCTTCAGGCAGGATCACATCACAGTAACAACAACATAATAATAATACACAAACCCTGCAGTAGGCCTACTGGCCTATGTTAGGCAGGGTTATTAGCTCACATCCAACACTTCAATCATATCTACTCTAATTCTATATCTTTTCAGAGAGTTCAGGTTCATTGTCTTCAGATTATCTTCATAGGAAAGATTTCTAATACTTGGAATCAAGTTTGTCTTCCCTCTCTATGTTTTCCAGTACATTTTTGTCTATTCTGTAATATGATAACCAGAACTGAGCAGCATAATAATATGAGGCCATATTAAAGATAGATATAATAAGTTGAAGTATAACCCTACGGCTTCATTATTTATACTTATTCATTTAAAGCCAAGAATTCTATATTTATATATGCACTGTTGTGGCCTTACATTTCTGCAAGTCAGAAATCATAATTTTTTTTTTTTCATTTGACTAAGATCTTCCTTATTTAGTTTATAAGTGCCAGAGTTACTGTGTTTTCTTCTTGTAGGATTAGAACCTTACACTTGTCTGCACTGAGCTGCATCTGCCATTTATCAGACCAGAACATTCACACATCCAGGTCATCCTCCAGCTTTTTAATGTCCGTATCAGACATTATTTAACTAAATAAGTTTTGACCTTGGCTTCATATGTTTTAAATCGTAAAATGATCTTATGTAGTACCATGCAAGACAAGCCACGGGGGGGCGGAAATCTTTAGCTCTGAGGAGTGAGCATCTGTAGGAGGTGACAGTAGAAGTCAAGGAAGGAAACAAGTGGGAGAATTGGGAGAAGAGGTGGCAAGTGGCGTTCATAATGCAAACAATCGCAGACGGGCGATCTTAACTATGCAAGACAAGGCACAGGGGTGGAAATCTTTAACTATTCTCCTGCTTGTTTCCTTCCTTGACTTCTACTGTCACCTCCTACAAATGCTCACTCCTTAGAGTGGCTTGTCTTGCACTAAACCCACATGGATCATTCAGCACAAGATGTGGTGAAGGTGCACTTTGTATTTGTACTCACCTAAATGTTAATACAAGTTCAGAGATTTTTGTTCTTGTACTTTTTTTCTTATACCTGTACCATAAGAACTTTGAAAGTATGATAAATGTTGTGCATCATTTGGTTTGTTAATTTTATAATAGTATAATATGTGTTAAAACCATAATACTTTGCAGAACGTTGTTGTGACGCTGGAACTCGGCCACAGAGCAACTGTGCGACAGCAGCGAGGAAACGAAGTCTTCACACATGACTGGGAAGTGTTCGTTCAAGGGGCCAATGGGTCTCGTGTTGAGGCTTTCATAGAAAAGATTGTATTTACTCTTCATAAGAGTTTTGCAAAACCTAAAAGAGGTCTGTAGTTAAGCAATTACAGTATAAACTTTATGTAGGGTGAGCAGCCAAAATGCATTTGCTGTACCAGGAAACTGTTTTTATAGAGAATTGATTACCTAGTTCATAGTCATAAACATATTCATTCTTTTTTTTTTTTTTTTTTTTTTTTTTATCACACCGGCCGATTCCCACCAAGGCAGGGTGGCCCGAAAAAGAAAAACTTTCACCATCATTCACTCCATCACTGTCTTGCCAGAAGGGTGCTTTACACTACAGTTTTTAAACTGCAACATTAACACCCCTCCTTCAGAGTGCAGGCACTGTACTTCCCATCTCCAGGACTCAAGTCCGGCCTGCCGGTTTCCCTGAATCCCTTCATAAATGTTACTTTGCTCACACTCCAACAGCACGTCAAGTATTAAAAACCATTTGTCTCCATTCACTCCTATCAAACACGCTCAAGCATGCCTGCTGGAAGTCCAAGCCCCTCGCACACAAAACCTCCTTTACCCCCTCCCTCCAACCCTTCCTAGGCCGACCCCTACCCCGCCTTCCTTCCACTACAGACTGATACACTCTTGAAGTCATTCTGTTTCGCTCCATTCTCTCTACATGTCCGAACCACCTCAACAACCCTTCCTCAGCCCTCTGGACAACAGTTTTGGTAATCCCCGCACCTCCTCCTAACTTCCAAACTACGAATTCTCTGCATTATATTCACACCACACATTGCCCTCAGACATGACATCTCCACTGCCTCCAGCCTTCTCCTCGCTGCAACATTCATCACCCACGCTTCACACCCATATAAGAGCGTTGGTAAAACTATACTCTCATACATTCCCCTCTTTGCCTCCAAGGACAAAGTTCTTTGTCTCCACAGACTCCTAAGTGCACCACTCACTCTTTTTCCCTCATCAATTCTATGATTCACCTCATCTTTCATAGACCCATCCGCTGACACGTCCACTCCCAAATATCTGAATACATTCACCTCCTCCATACTCTCTCCCTCCAATCTGATATATTCAATCTTTCATCACCTAATCTTTTTGTTATCCTCATAACCTTACTCTTTCCTGTATTCACCTTAATTTTCTTCTTTTGCACACCCTACCAAATTCATCCACCAATCTCTGCAACTTGTCTTCAGAATCTCCCAAGAGCACAGTGTCATCAGCAAAGAGCAGCTGTGACAACTCCCACTTTGTGTGTGATTCTTTATCTTTAACTCCACGCCTCTTGCCAAGACCCTCGCATTTACTTCTCTTACAACCCCATCTATAAATATATTAAACAACCACGGTGACATCACACATCCCTTGTCTAAGGCCTACTTTTACTGGGAAAAAATTTCCCTCTTTCCTACATACTCTAACTTGAGCCTCACTATCCTCGTAAAAACTCTTCACTGCTTTCAGTAACCTACCTCCTACACCATACACTTGCAACATCTGCCACATTGCCCCCCTATCCACCCTGTCATACGCCTTTTCCAAATCCATAAATGCCACAAAGACCTCTTTAGAGCCTTATCTAAATACTGTTCACTATATGTTTTCACTGTAAACACCTGTCCACACACCCCCTACCTTTCCTAAAGCCTCCTTGTTCATCTGCTATCCTATTCTCCGTCTTACTCTTAATTCTTTCAATATAACTCTACCATACACTTTACCAGGTACACTCAACAGACTTATCCCCTAAATTTTGCACTCTCTTTTATCCCCTTTGCCTTATACAAAGGAAACTATGCATGCTCTCTGCCAATCCTAGGTACCTATACCCTCTTCCATACATTTATTAAACAATTGCACCAACCACTCCAAACTATATCCCACCTGCTTTTAACATTTCAATCTTTATCCCAATCATCCCGCTGCCTTACCCCCTTTCATTTTACCTACTGCCTCACGAACTTCCCCCACACTCACAACTGGCTCTTCCTCACTCCTACAAGACGTTATTCCTCCTTGCCCTATACACGAAATCACAGCTTCCCTATCTTCATCAACCATTTAACAATTCCTCAAAATAATTCCTTCCATCTTCCAATACCTCTAACTCTCCATTTAATAACTCTCCTCTCCTATTTTTAACTGACAAATCCATTGTTCTCTAGGCTTTCTTAACTTGTTAATCTCACTCCAAAACTTTTCTTATTTTCAAACAAAATTTGTTGATAACATCTCACCCACTCTCTCATTTGCTCTCCTTTTACATTGCTTCACCACTCTCTTAACCTCTCTCTTTTTCTCCATATACTCTTCCCTCCTTGCATCACTTCTACTTTGTAAAACTTCTCATATGCTAACTTTTTCTCCCTTACTACTCTCTTTACATCATCATTCCACCAATCGCTCCTCTTCCCTCCTGCACCCACTTTCCTGTAACCACAAACTTCTGCTGAACATCACTTAACACTACATTTTAAAAAACCTACCCCATACCTCTTCGACCCCTTTGCCTATGCTCTCATTAGCCCATCTATCCTCCAATAGCTGTTTATATCTTACCCTAACCGCCTCCTCTTTTAGTTTATAAAACCTTCACCTCTCTCTTCCCTGATGCTTCTATTCTCCTTGTATCCCATCAAACCTTTTACTCTCAGTGTAGCTACAACTAGAAAGTGATCTGATATATCTGTGGCCCCTCTATAAACATGTACATCCTGAAGTCTACTCAACAGTCTTTTAATCTACCAATACATAATCCAACAAACTACTGTCATTTCGCCCTACATCATATCTTGTATACTTATTTATCCTTTTTTTCTTAAAATATGTATTACCTATAACTAAACCCCTTTCTATACAAAGTTCAATCAAAGGGCTCCCATTATCATTTACACCTGGCACCCAAACTTACCTACCACACCCTCTCTAAAAGTTTCTCCTACTTTAGCATTTCAAGTCCCTACCACAATTACTCTTCACTTGGTTCAAAGGCTCCTATACATTCATTACATCTCCCAAAATCTCTCTCTCTCCTCTGCATTCCTCTCTTCTCCAGGTGCATACACGCTTATTATGACCCACTTCTCGCATCCAACCTTTACTTTAATCCACATAATTCTTGAATTTACACATTCATATTCTCTTTTCTCCTTCCATAACTGATCATTTAACATTACTGCACCCCTTCCTTTGCTCTAACTCTCTCAGATACTCCAGATTTAATCCCATTTATTTCCCCCCACTGAAACTCTCCTACCCCTTCAGCTTTGTTTCGCTAGGGCCAGGACATCCAACTTCTTTTCATTCATAACATCAGCAATCATCTGTTTCTTGTCATCCGCACTACATCCACGCACATTTAAGCAACCCAGTTTTATAAAGTTTTCTTCTTCTCTTTTTTAGTAATTGTATACAGGAGAAGGGGTTACTAGCCCATTGCTCCCGGCATTTTAGTCGCCTCATACGACACGCATGGCTTACGGAGGAAAGATTCTTTTTCCACTTCCCCATGGACAATAGAAGAAATAAAAAAGAACAAGAGCTATTTAGAAAAAGGAGAAAAACCTAGATGTATGTATATATATATATGCATGTGCGTGTCTGTGAAGTGTGACCAAAGTGTTAGTAGGAGTAGCAAGATATCCCTGTTATCTTAGCGTGTTTATGAGACAGAAAAAGAAACCAGCAATCCTACCATCATGCAAAACAATTACAGGTTTTTGTTTCACAGTCATCTGGCAGGACGGTAGTACTTCCCTGGGTGGTTGCTGTCTACCAACCTACTACCTGGATATTCATTCTGTACTCATAAAACTAAAATTAAATTGCCTTACTGAGTAGTCTTGACTGATAAGTGGGATAATATGAAAGTTATTTAATGTAGCATAGCAAGTCATACAGTGTTTGTCCTGAATATCCTAAGGTTTAACCTAGCTACTTTACTCAAGCTTCTTATAATTTAATCCTTCTTCATTTTTTAACATACTGGCCATCTCCCACTGAGGTAGGATGATAAAAAAAAAAACTTAATCATCATCATTCATTCAGTCGCTTTTGTGCCAGAAGTGCGCTGACAACCTGTTACACTTAATCTCATTTCCCTTAAGATAACTAATTAATACCCTGCACTGTGTTGCTAATATTGTTTTAGAGAATGTGTGTTTGGTAAATACATACAGTATATGCGAGACGAATGTCATTTTTTCGGTTCACTTTTCACTCAAGAGTTTTTATTGTTCTTACACTGTGTACTTTTTAAGCTTATATCAGCATTCAGTTTTGAAAAACTTATTGGGTCGGATGCATAGCATTTAGATAAACATCACTTAACTTGAAAGATGATAGTAGAGTGTAATTCAATTAGCTTTGTCTACAGCAATAAGCTTAGAATTTGTTGATAGTGGTAAGTGTTTAATAAGACAAATAATCACTATTTGTATTATGACAGACCTCATGTCTTACAAAAGTAGAGTTAAGGTCATATTGTACTGTATTAGTGTTGAGCTTCACTGATAGCTGATCTTTGGTACTCAGTACTGTAAACTGTAAGAGACTAACTAAATTCCATGAGGTTTACCACTGTAGATATTCTACAGTGTACAGATATTGTGTATCGGTTACTGCTAGTTATATTAAAACTAAAATTTTCTTATATTTTTACTCCCTTAAATAATATATATTTTGCACTACCATGAACTAAAAACTTGTTAACAGAGGCACCCACAATTTGAGGAATTTTTGAGTATATAAAGTTAGATTACTATCAAAATATTAAAATTTTAGAATAGTTAGCATCTCCTTTAAATAATGAAAAAATGCATGCCTTCTATTTATTTTTAACACGCATATAGACATTTTATTTTTGGATAAGTTTTATGCTCATTTTCTTCAAGTTTGCTAATGTCATCAATATTTCCAGTTGTCAAGATTCCACCATATAAAGTGTGTGAGAAAGGATATGGCAGCTTCACCCTTCCTATTGAGATCTACTTCAAGACCAATCACCCTGATGATACTCGCAAAGCCCAGTAAGTGCCCTGTATTGTGTTGTATCTGATAACTGAGTCACTTGTTCAACATTTGGTTGTCTTTATTCTGGAAATGTTTTGCCAGCCAGTGGCTTCTTAGTCCAATGCAGAGAAATGTGGAAGATGAGGAGTTTGAGGTAATCAGTCCCTCAGCCTGAAGTCAATGTGTTCAGTCCATCAAGATCAATGGACTGAACACATTGACTACAGCCTGAGGGACTGATTACCTCAAACTCCTCCTCATTTTCCACCTTTCTCTGCATTGGACTGAAAAAGCCACTGGCTGGCAAAACATTTCCATAATAAAGATACCTAAACATTATACAAGTTTCTTGTCTATCAACTTGTCAGTTATCTAAACCATTTATTCACATCGTGTTGTATCTGTTGATGTAATGTACACAGTATTACTTTTTTTTTTTTCAACAAGTCGGCCGTCTCCCACCGAGGCAGTGTGACCCAAAAAGAACGAAAATCCCCAAAAAGAAAATACTTTCAGCATCATTCAACACTTTCGCCTCACACATACATAATCACTGTTTTTGCAGAGGTGCTCAAAACACAACAGTTTAGAAGCATATACATATAAAGATATACAACATATGTTTACTAAATCTCCTGCAAATTGAAAACAGGATTTTTATTGAGTATTATTTTTATTTTTTTTTTTATTATCACACTGGCCGATTCCCACCAAGGCAGGGTGGCCCGAAAAAGAAAAACTTTCACCATCATTCACTCCATCACTGTCTTGCCAGAAGGGTGCTTTACACTACAGTTTTTAAACTGCAACCTTAACACCCCTCCTTCAGAGTGCAGGCACTGTACTTCCCATCTCCAGGACTCAAGTCCGGCCTGCCGGTTTCCCTGAACCCCTTCATAAATGTTACTTTGCTCACACTCCAACAGCACGTCAAGTATTAAAAACCATTTGTCTCCATTCACTCCTATCAAACATGCTCACGCATGCCTGCTGGAAGTCCAAGCCCCTCGCACACAAAACCTCCTTTACCCCCTCTCTCCAACCTTTCCTAGGCCGACCCCTACCCTGCCTTCCTTCCACTACAGACTGATACACTCTTGAAGTCATTCTTGTTTCGCTCCATTCTCTCTACATGTCCGAACCACCTCAACAACCCTTCCTCAGCCCTCTGGACAACAGTTTTGGTAATTCCCGCACCTCCTCCTAACTTCCAAACTACAAATTCTCTGCATTATATTCACACCACACATTGCCCTCAGACATGACATCTCCACTGCCTCCAGCCTTCTCCTCGCTGCAACATTCATCACCCATGCTTCACACCCATATAAGAGCGTTGGTAAAACTATACTCTCATACATTCCCCTCTTTGCCCAAGGACAAAGTTCTTTGTCTCCACAGACTCCTAAGTGCACCACTCACTCTTTTCCCCTCATCAATTCTATGATTCACCTCATCTTTCATAGACCCATCCGCTGACACGTCCACTCCCAAATATCTGAATACATTCACCTCCTCCATACTCTCTCCCCCCCAATCTGATATTCAATCTTTCATCACCTAATCTTTTTGTTATCCTCATAACCTTACTCTTTCCTGTATTCACCTTTAATTTTCTTCTTTTGCACGCCCTACCAAATTCATCCACCAATCTCTGCAACTTCTCTTCAGAATCTCCCAAGAGCACAGTGTCATCAGCAAAGAGCAGCTGTGACAACTCCCACTTTGTGTGTGATTCTTTATCTTTTAACTCCACGCCTCTTGCCAAGACCCTCACATTTACTTCTCTACAACCCCCAATCTATAAATATATTAAACAACCACGGTGACAAACCACATCCTTCTAAGTAGAGTTATTATTGAAAGAATTAAGAGTAGATGGAGAATAGGATAGCAGATGAACAAGGAGGCTTTAGGAAAGGTAGGGGGTGTGTGGACCAGGTGTTTACAGTGAAACATGTAAGTGAACAGTATTTAAGATAAGGCTAAAGAGGTCTTTGTGGCATTTATGGATTTGGAAAAGGCGTATGACAGGGTGGATAGGGGGGCAATGTGGCAGATGTTGCAAGTGTATGGTGTAGGAGGTAGGTTACTGAAAGCAGTGAAGAGTTTTTACGAGGATAGTGAGGCTCAAGTTAGAGTATGTAGGAAAGAGGGAAATTATTTCCCAGTAAAAGTAGGCCTTAGACAAGGATGTGTGATGTCACCGTGGTTGTTTAATATATTTATAGATGGGGTTGTAAGAGAAGTAAATGCGAGGGTCTTGGCAAGAGGCGTGGAGTTAAAAGATAAAGAATCACACACAAAGTGGGAGTTGTCACAGCTGCTCTTTGCTGATGACACTGTGCTCTTGGGAGATTCTGAAGAGAAGTTGCAGAGATTGGTGGATGAATTTGGTAGGGTGTGCAAAAGAAGAAAATTAAAGGTGAATACAGGAAAGAGTAAGGTTATGAGGATAACAAAAAGATTAGGTGATGAAAGATTGAATATCAGATTGGAGGGAGAGAGTATGGAGGAGGTAAATGTATTCAGATATTTGGGAGTGGACGTGTCAGCGGATGGGTCTATGAAAGATGAGGTGAATCATAGAATTGATGAGGGGAAAAGGGTGAGCGGTGCACTTAGGAGTCTGTGGAGACAAAGAACTTTGTCCTTGGAGGCAAAGAGGGGAATGTATGAGAGTATAGTTTTACCAACGCTCTTATATGGGTGTGAAGCATGGGTGATGAATGTTGCAGCGAGGAGAAGGCTGGAGGCAGTGGAGATGTCATGTCTGAGGGCAATGTGTGGTGTGAATATAATGCAGAGAATTCGTAGTTTGGAAGTTAGGAGGAGGTGCGGGATTACCAAAACTGTTGTCCAGAGGGCTGAGGAAGGGTTGTTGAGGTGGTTCGGACATGTAGAGAGAATGGAGCGAAACAGAATAACTTCAAGAGTGTATCAGTCTGTAGTGGAAGGAAGGCGGGGTAGGTGTCGGCCTAGGAAGGTTGGAGGGAGGGGGTAAAGGAGGTTTTGTGTGCGAGGGGCTTGGACTTCCAGCAGGCATGCGTGAGCGTGTTTTATAGGAGTGAATGGAGACAAATGGTGTTTAATACTTGACGTGCTGTTGGAGTGTGAGCAAAGTAACATTTATGAAGGGGTTCAGGGAAACCGGCAGGCCGGACTTGAGTCCTGGAGATGGGAAGTACAGTGCCTGCACTCTGAAGGAGGGGTGTTAATGTTGCAGTTTAAAAACTGTAGTGTAAAGCACCCTTCTGGCAAGACAGTGATGGAGTGAATGATGGTGAAAGTTTTTCTTTTTCGGGCCACCCTGCCTTGGTGGGAATCGGCCAGTGTGATAATAAAAAATAATAATAAAAAATTTTTTATTTATTAATGTACTTGTATATATTTTCATGCAGATGTTTGAAGATTTATAGTTTCAGTATGCCAGTATACATTAATTATCATATACGTAGTATGTTGGACGGTGCACAATACTTTGAGCTTTTTAATCAGTTTAGATAAAGGTTCTGTAAATTTTTGGTTATAACCAAGATCTTGAAACTTTTCAGTTTAGTCAGTATAAAGCAGCTTCAGTCATGGGGCAGGTGGAGACAGTGGGCATGTTCCTGCCCACCTGTTGCCCCTCTTCATTTAGTGGTAAATAGGTATTCTAAAATTAGCCAGTTGTTACACAAATAACCCGCACATAAAAGACAGAAGCCCACGACGACGTTTCGGTCCGACTTGGACCATTAACAAAGTCACACTGTTATTTGTGTATCGTTCCAGTCACGGTATTGTGCCTTTTTGTTATTTAGCCAGTTGTTGTCAACTTGTGAGAGTTGAGGGAAGACAACAGCTCCTGTCGTCTGAATTGAACAGTGCTTAAAATAATAATGATATGTGTTTATAACAGGTTTGAGTATGATTTGTTCCTGCAACACGTTGAATGTCCACCGATCAATCACCAACGGAAGGAAAAGCTCACTTTCCTCAAACCTTCAGATGACTTTAAACGGAAACTGCTACAAGGTGGTGGGGTAAGTGATTGCTCAGTAACTTTTTTATTCTTTTATAAGAGCAATTTATGAGTGTCTTCCATTCTTGAAGTGTAACTGTTGCAAATCTGAACTTTAACTTCCATATTTTTTTTTGTTTTTAACAAGTCGGCCGTCTCCCACCGAGGCAGGGTGACCCACCAAGGCAGGGTGACCCACCGAGGCAGGGTGACCCACCGAGGCAGGGTGACCCACCGAGGCAGGGTGACCCACCGAGGCAGGGCGACCCACCGAGGCAGGGCGACCCACCGAGGCAGGGTGACCCACCGAGGCAGGGTGACCCACCGAGGCAGGGTGACCCAAAAAGAAAGAAAATCCCCAAAAAGAAAATACTTTCATCATCATTCAACACTCTTCCCTCACTCATACATAATCACTGTTTTTGCAGAGGTGCCCAGATACAACAGTTTAGAAGCATATACGTATAAATTATATGGCATATCCCTCCAAACTGCCAATATCCCAACCCCCTCCTTAAAAGTGTAGGCATTGTACTTCCCATTTCCAGTACTCAAGTCTGGCTATATAAAAATAATCAGTTTACCTGAATCCCTTCACTAAATATTACCCTGCTCACACTCCAACAGCTCGTCAGGTCCCAAAAACCATTCGTCACCATTCACTCCTATCTAACACGCTGGAAGTCCTAGCCCCTCGCCCACAAAACCTCCTTAACCCCTTCCCTCCAACCTTTTCGAGGACGACACCTACCCCACCTTCCCCTACAGATTTATACGCTCTCCATGTCATTCTCTCTAAATGACCAAACCACCTCAACAACCCCTCTTCAGCCCTCTGACTAATACTTTTATTAGCTCCACACCTAATTTCTGCATAATATTTACACTACACATTGCCCTTAGACAGGACATCTCTACTGCCTCCAACCACCTCCTCGCTGCAGCATTTACAACCCAAGCTTCACACCCATATAAGAGAGTTGGTACCACTATACTTTCATACATTCCCTTCTTTACCTCCATAGATAACATTTGTTTTTGTCTCCACATATACCTCAATGCACCACTCACCTTTTTTCCTTCATCAGTTCTATGGTTAACCTCACCCTTCATAAACCCATCCATTGACATGTCAACTCCCAAATATCTGAAAACATTCACTTCTTCCATACTCCCTCTCTCCATTGTGATATCCAATTTTTCTTTATCTAAATCATTTGATACCCTCATTACCTTACTCTTATCTATGTTCACTTTCAGCTTTCTACCTTTACACACCCTCCCAAACTTGTCCGCTAACCTTTGCAACTTTTCTTTAGAATCTTCCATAAGCACAGTATAATCAGCAAAAAGTAACTCTGTCAACTCCCATTTTGTATTTGATTCCCCATAATTTAATCCCACCCCTCTCCCCAACACCCTAGCATTTACTTCTTTTACAACCACATCTATAAATATATTAAACAACCATGGTGACACTACACACTTTTACCGGGAAGTAGTCTCCCTCTCTTCTACGCACCCTAACCTGAGCCTCACTGTCCTCATAAAAACTCTTTACAACATTTAGTAACTTACTACCTATTCCATATACTTGCAACATCTACCACATTGCTACCCTATCCACTCTGTCATATGCCTTTTCTAAGTCCATAAATGCAATGAAAACTTCCCTACCTTTATCTAAATACTGTTCACATATATGCTTCAATGTAAACATTTGATCTACACATCCTTGACCCACTCTAAAACCTCCTTGCTCATCCGAAATCTTACTCTCTGTCTTACCTCTAATTCTTTCAATAATAACCCTACCATACACTTTTCCTGGTGTACTCGGTAAACTTATACCTCTATAATTTTTACGATCTCTTTTGTCCCCCTTCCCTTTATATAAAGGGACTATACACACTCTCTGCCAATCCCTAGGTACCTTCTCCTCTTTCATACATTTATTAAACAAAAATACCAACCACTCCAACACTATAAACCCCTTCCCCCCTGCTTTTAACATTTCTGTCATGATCCCGTTAGTTCCAGCTGTTTTACCCCCTTTCATTCTATGTAATGCCTCACGCACCTCCCCCACACTCACATCCTACTCTTCTTCACTCCTAAAAGATGTTATACCTCCCTGACCAGTGCATGAAATTACCACCTCCCTCCAAAATTTTTTCTTATTTTCATCAAAATTTCTTGACAGTGCCTCTCCCACTCTATCATCTGCTCTCCTTTTGCAGTCTCACCACTCTTCACTTTTATTTTACTCTCCATATACACTTTGGGTCACCCTGCCTCGGTGGGAGACGGCCGACCTGTTGAAAAAAAAAAAATACTCTGCTCTTCTTCTAACACTTCTGCTTTGTAAAAACTTCTCATAAGCTACCTTTTTCTCTTTTATCATGCCCTTTACATCATCATTCCACCAATCACTCCTCTTTCCTCCTGCACCTACCCTCTTATAGCCACAAACTTCTGCCCCACACTCTAATACTGCATTTTTAAAACTATTCCAACCCTCTTCATCCCCCCACTACTCATACTTGCACCTTCCCACCTTTCTGCCAATAGTTGCTTATATCTCACCCTAATTTCCTCCTCCCTTAGATTATACACTCTCACCTCTCTCTTGCTTGTTGTTGCCATTTTCCTTTTGTCCCATATACTTCTTTAACTGTAGCTATGACTAAATAATGATCCGATATATTAGTTGCCCAGTTGCCCCTCTAGAAACGTGTACATCCTGAAGGCTACCCATCAATCTTTTATCCACCAATACATAATCTAACAAACTACTTTCATTATGTGCTATATCATACCTTGTATACTTATTTATTCTCTTTCTTAAATATGTATTACTTATTACCAAACCTCTTTCTAAACATAGCTCATTTAAAGGCTTCCCATTTTCGTATACCCCTGGCACCCCAAATTTACCTACTACTCCCTCCACAACATTTTTACCCACTTTAGCATTGAAATCCCTAACCACAAGTACTCTCAGACTTGGTTCAAAACTCCCCATGCACTCACTCAACATTTCTCAAAATCTTTCTCTCTCCTCTACACTTCTCTCTTTTCCAGGTGCATAAACTCTTACTATAACCCACTTTTCACATCCAACCCTTATTTTACTCCACATAATCCTTGAATTTATACATTTATATTCCCTCTTTTCTTGCGTCCTTCAACATTATTGCTACTCCTTCTTTAGCTCTAACTCTATTTGAAACTCCTGACCTAATCCCATTTATTTCTCCCCACTGAAACTCTCCCATCTCCTTCAGCTTTGTTTCACTTAAAGCCAGGACATCCAGCTTCTTCTCATTCATAACATCCACAATCATCTTTTTCTTATCATTCGCACAACATCCACGCACATTCAAACATCCCACTTTGATGGTTTTGTTCTTTTTTCTTTTTAATAGGCTATACAGGAAAGGGGTTACTAGCCCATTGTTCCTTGCATTTTAGTTGACTTTTACAACACGCATGGCTTACAGAGGAAAGATTCTTATTCCACTTCCCCATGGATATAAAAGGAAAAGCAATAAGAACAAGAACTTTCTTCTTCTTTCAACACACCGGCCGTATCCCACCGAGGCAGGGTGGCCCAAAAGGAAAAACGAAAGTTTCTCCTTTTCTTCTTCTTCTTTCAACGTACCAGCCGTATCCCACTGAGGTGGGGTGGCCCAAAAGAAAAAACTGAAGTTTCTCTTTTTAAATTTAGTAATATATACAGGAGAAGGGGTTACTAGCCCCTTGCTCCCGGCATTTTAGTCGCCTCTTACAGACACGCATGGCTTATAGAGGAAGAATTCTGTTCCACTTCCCCATGGAGATAAGAGGAAATAAACATGAATAAGAACTAGAAAGAAAATAGAAGAAAACCCGGAGGGGTGTGTATATATGTGCTTGTACATGTCTGTGTAGTATGACCTAAGTGTAAGTAGAAGTAACAATATGTACCTGAAATCTTGCATGTTTACAAGACAGAAAAGAGACACCAGCAACCCTACCATCATGTAGAACAATTACAGGTTTTCATTTTACACTCACTTGGCTGGATGGTAGTACTTCTCTGGGTGGTTGCTGTCTACCAGCCTACCACTGTGGTATTATAATTGCCATATCTTTCCCTCATGTTTATTATTGTTTCCCATATCCCAGTGTTTAATATTACCATTTACCCTTATGTTTATCATGTTATATCCCTTATCCCAATGTTTAGTTTACCATTGCCATTACCCCTGTTTATCATTGTAATTTCCTTTACCTTTGATTTTATCATTGCCATTTTCCTTAACCCAGTGTTCATTATCATTATTTTCTTTATCGTGCTGCATAAATAACCTGCACATAGGAGAGAGAAACTTTTGATAACGTTTTGATTCACGTCGGACCAAAACATCTTAAGCTTTTCCCTCCTGTGTGTAGGTTATTTGTGTATTGTTCCAGTCATAGTATTGTGCCTTTTTGTTTCTTATCCTAGTGTATATCATTGTCATTTCCTCTACTAGTTTTACCACTGTCATTTCCCTTGTCTCAGTGTTTGTCATTTTCCTTACTTTAGTGTTTACCTCTTATCATTTCTCCTACCCTCAATCTGCCTCTTTGCAATGTTTTTCCATTACCCTGAGCCCTTGTATTTGATTGCTGTAGTTTTACGTGTTACTTACCTTGACAGATTATTGTGATGGGTCAAGAGGACAACAGCCAGGGGGATAAGGCAGCTGTCTCCCGACCCTCCAGCGGAGCTAAGATCAAACCTCATGCTGCCCCACAGCACCAACCAGAGACTGCCAAAAAGCACAAACATCAAACCGTTAAGGTAAGGAATTGGTGTTGAGGGCGGTGAGTTGCATTCATTCGAGAAGGCAAGTGGATGTTGGCATATTACAAGATCAAGAAGAATTTTTTTTTTAGCATGCTGGCCATCTTCCACCAAGGCAGGGTGACCCAAAAAAGAAACACTTTCACCATCATTCACACTATCACTGTCTTGCCAGAGGTGCACAGATACGACAGTTTAGATGTCCCTCCAAACAGCAGATAAGAGTGCAGGCACTGTACTTCCCACCTCCAAGAGCAATATCTACATGTATAAACTGTACACCATTGATAGAGATTGCAAAACCATTAGATTAAATAAGGATCTGGCCTATACTGTACTTATTACACAATTTCAGGAGGAAATTTCCAACAATTTTGGTCATTCTCAGTTATCCTGATCATCCTGGCTTCTATGTGTTTATTTTATCCTTTGTCAAGTAATGAGTAATGTAGGTCCTCCTTGGCATTTTCTTCCAAAAGAGGCCTGTTTTGTCACAATTGAACACTTGTTGGGGTTTGAATTGTTCAATCTCTATGTACTCCTTGAATTTGCCTATGAATTTTTCAGTTGCATTTTTGTCAGAGCTGGCAGCCTCACCATGCCTTATCACACTGTGTATGCTGCTACGTTTCTTAAATCTCTCAAACCAGCCTTTGCTGGCCTTAAAATCACAAATATCAGTACTCATTGCAGGCAATTTTTTTACGAGATCGTCATGCAACTGCCTTGCCTTTTCACAAATAATCGACTGCATAAGACTATCTCCTGCTAATTGCTTCTCGGTTATCCACACCAACAATAACTTCTCAACATCTTCGAGTACTTGCGATCTCATTTTTGTGAGCATATTTACCCCCTTTGCAACAACAGCTTACTTGATTTCCTTTTTCTTGCCCACAACGGAAGCAATGATTGTATGGGGTTTCTTATACATCTTGGCCAGCTCTGCCACACGTATGCCACTTTCATATTGTTCAGTGATTTTTCTTGAATTCTATTGTATTTCTCACCTTCTTTACCAAAGGTATGGCACTAGGAGCTTTCTTCAGAGCCATGGTGGCTTATTTAGCATTTGCAAGCACTAAAATAAATGGAATATTATGAAATGTATCGTATGAACGCGTGAAGTGATGGTCACTCACTGATAAACAATGGCGCACTGGCAGGGAATGGAGTGTGAGGCCGCTCGGGGCTGTACTCGCCTAGTTGTACTCGCCTAGTTGAGGTTGCAGGGGTCGAGTCCGAGCTCCTGGCCCCGCCTCTTCACTGATCGCTACTAGGTCACTCTCCCTGAACCGTGAGCTTTATCATACCTCTGCTTAAAGCTATGTATGGATCCTGCCTCCACTACATCGCTTCCCAAACTATTCCACTTACTGACTACTCTGTGGCTGAAGAAATACTTCCTAACATCCCTGTGATTCATCTGTGTCTTCAACTTCCAACTGTGTCCCCTTGTTACTGTGTCCAATCTCTGGAACATCCTGTCTTTGTCCACCTTGTCAATTCATCTCAGTATTTTGTATGTCGTTATCATGTCCCCCCTATCTCTCCTGTCCTCCAGTGTCGTCTGGTTGATTTCCCTTAACCTCTCCTCATAGGGCATACCTCTTAGCTCTGGGACTAGTCTTGTTGCAAACCTTTGCACTATCTTTAGTTTCTTTACGTGCTTGGCTAGGTGTAGGTTCCAAACTGGTGCCGCATACTCCAATATGGGCCTAATGTACACGGTGTACAGGGTCCTGAACAATTCCTTATTAAGATGTCAGAATGCTGTTCTGAAGTTTGCTAGGCGCCCATATGCTGCAGCCGTTATTTGGTTGATGTGCTCTTCAGGAGATGTGCCTGGTGTTATACTCACCCCAAGATCTTTTTCCTTGAGTGAGGTTTGTAGTCTCTGGCCCCCCTAGACTGTACTCCGTCTGTGGTCTTCTTTGCCCTTCCCCAATCTTCATGACTTTGCACTTGGTGGGATTGAACTCCAGGAGCCAATTGCTGGACCAGGTCTGCAGCCTGTCCAGATCCCTTTGTAGTTCTGTCCAGGATGAATGACTATTTGCAAGTCAAACGACGATTTGCAAGTCAATGTTTTGATGAAAAAAGTTAAGATTTACGAAAATTACGACTTTCATTGCTTACGAAAAATGAGGGACCACTATCTTTCTGATCACGGAATTGGTAAAACTCTTTTACAGCACGTTGGCCAACATGTGAGAGAATGCGTCTGTGTGGTAAGTGTGCACCATATAAAAAATCCTGCAGCATGCAGTGCATGAGAAAAAAAACTGACCATTTTTTTTTTAATTAAAATGCCGACTTTGTGGTCTATTTTCGTATAGTATTTATGGTTGTATTCTCGTTTTCTTGGTCTCATTTGATAGAATGGAAAACATATTATAGAAGTAGAGGTGATTTTGATTGGTCTTACTATGAAAAGAACCTTGAAATGGAGCTCAAAGTAGGGGAAATGTTTGATTTTTGCCGATGTTCAAAAGTAAACAAATGATGTCATTTTCCAATAAATGTCGAAGTAGCCATTCTGATATGCAGTCATGAATGGGTTGACATTATTTATACAATTATTACATTATTGCAGGAGTCTACATAACAAATCTTCTATTTTTTGTTTGAATAAAAATTCAACATAGAAAGCAAAAGTAACATCAGAGGGGCCTGGAGACGTGACTGATGAACAAAGAAAATGTTATTTTAGAGCCAGGAATGCTTGCATTGTTCATTCTGGACCCTATTTTGAAATTGTCATATTTTTTAATTTTCATGAAATCGGCCAAATTGCAAATTTCTGACCACGTTATTGGGTAGTTGAAATCATTAATGGGCAGTTTCTTGTACTCAGTCAATAGAAAAAAATGGAGTTCTAAAGAAATAGCTATGAGTTTGGTCGACTGGAACTATGGAATTACCCGAAAATAGGGCTCAAAGTGGGCGAAATCGGCTATTCGTAAATATCGCCGAGGTCCCTAACTTTGCAAGAGCGTAATTCCATCAGTTTTCCATGAAATTTCGTTCTTTTGGTGTCATTACAATCAGGAAAGATTCTCTATCATTTCATAAGAAAAATAATTTTTTTTTTTTTTTTTTTTTTTTTTTTTAAATTTTGCGACACCAGGAGACACCTCGTGATTTGGGGTTGCGACAGTCAAGGGGTTAACAACAGAGGCATTAGATGCTATCTCCAGCAATATTGTGGAGACGACACCCCCGATGGACACCAACATGACTCCTCCCCCCTTCTATTGCGCCACCCTCACAACACTATTCCTCTGCAACATTCACATTCTTCCTTGCTTACACCCTTACCATTACCCCCACACATTGACTTTACAGATCCTAAAAGTCCATAGGTTTTATCATTTCTTATTGTTGCCAGTTTTATTTCTTTACATAATGTCATTATTACAATGGAATATTTGTGGCCTTAGGGGCAGATGAGAACTCCAAGTGTTGCGCTCCCAGTTGTCCCCAGTATGTGTTGAGTTGCAAGAGGCCAAAATTCGTTCTGCTGTCATTCGCCCCGTTTTGGGCTACGTACTTCCCCCTCACTTTTTGTCGACCACTTCCGCTTTCATTCTCATGCCATTGCGGTGTACACCGATGGTTCTAAGTCTTCTGATGGCGCCAGATTCGGAGCAGTGTTTCCGGACAGTGTCATGCGAGGTCACTTATTACACTCGGCTAGCATTTTTATGGCTGAATTGTATGCCATTCTTGTAGCACTCATCCATATTGCATCTATGCATGTGTCACCATTTGTGGTCATTTCAGACTACCTTAGTGCTTTACAGGCTATACGGAAATTAGATACACCTCACCCCCTAGTTCTTCGTATCCAACTTTGGTTATGTATCTCTAGCAAACGCAGAGATATTGTTTTTTGTTGGGTCATGTTGACGTACAGGGCAATGAACAGGCAGACACTGCTGCGCGGTCAGCAGTACATGACCTCCTAGTTTCATATGGAGGTGTTCGATTCACGGACTATTTTGCTGTAATTGCTACCCATCTTCACACCCGTTGGCAACAACGTTGGTCTGATCTGCTCCATAACAAACTTCATTCTGTTAAACTGGCCGTCTTCTTGTCATCAGTGTTGAGGTTGGGAGACAGTACTCTCTCCTGTCTTCGCATTGGTCATACTCGTCTTACTAATGGGTATCTCATGGAGAGGCGTCCTGTTCCTCTGTGAGAATTGTCAAGTTCCAGTATCTGTTAGCCACATTCTGTTGGACTGGCCACTCTATCAATGAGCATGCAGAATTTACCTCCAATGTGATCTCTCTGCTGCCCTTTCTTTACTTTCCCTTCTTGCTGACAGACCTTCCTTTAATCCAGACTCTCTCATTGACTTTTTGACAGCAACTGATTTACTACACCAACTCTGATGATGATGTCTCTAGCACTCTCCTCAGTCCTTTCCACCTTAATCTCTAGCTACCCTCTACCCCTGCACTATCCACTGCCCCACTGCACTTCATAACCTAATAATCATCCCTCTCCCTCTTGTTACCCATTACCCCTGCATCCTTCCCTGCCCTGCTGTGCTGTATAACCCTTGCGGTTTAGCGCTTCTTTTTGATTATAATAATAAATCTGTATAGTACTAAATACATCAGGGAAAGATATTTTCTACTGTATACTGTACTAAATACATCAGGGAAAGATACCATCTACTGTACTAAATACATCAGGGAAAGGTACTATCTACTGTATACTGTACTAAATACATCAGGGAAAGGTACTATCTACTGTATACTGTACTAAATACATCAGGGAAAGGTACTATCTAGTGTATACTGTACTAAATACATCAGGGAAAGGTACTATCTACTGTATACTGTACTAAATACATCAGGGAAAGGTACTATCTACTGTATACTGTACTAAATACATCAGGGAAAGATACTATCTACTGTATACTGTACTAAATACATCAGGGAAAGGTACTATCTACTGTATACTGTACTAAATACATCAGGGAAAGGTACTATCTACTGTATACTGTACTAAATACATCAGGGAAAGATACTATCTACTCTATACTACAATAATTACTAGTAATTAACATTTAATTGATGGAATACTATTAGGGATTTAACAATATCAGGGATAATCATCTACTGTTACTAATACAAGAAGATACAAATGTCTCAAAGCATGGAAAATAACCAATTAAAAAACAAGGTAAATAATGTTTTTGTTTTTGGGATACTATCTCTGGGTTAACATGTACCCTAAATCTATCAGAAAGATACTTGATGGGATACTTACTAATAACATAGGAAAGTCTATCTAGTATATGTACATAATTCTCAGGGAAAGATACTATCTTAGTTAACTTATTCTCTAAATACTCATGTGAAGTAATTTTTCTGTTAATTCAGCAAATACTAATTCTTAACTGTCAATCATAGTAGATATATTGTTATGACTGTACTAAGTAATCAGGGACCCCCGGTTAACTGATATTTACTCCAAAATATCATCAGGGCAAGATACTTACTGAATTGTCCCATAAGTAATATGGAAAGATTATCACTTTCTGACCCCAAAATACACAGGAAAAACATCACTATACTACATAAATACATATTAAAATTAATTGATGGAACATTTCAGTATTTAGCATTCCACTGTAATTTGTTGTATGTACTAAGAAACAACAAAATAAAGAGAGTATACATAGAAAGAAAGGTAATAAAGTTTTTTTTTAGGTGATAATTGGTTGGAATGGCATAAATCTGCAAAAAGTAGTGATGTATATGATTAAAGTTAGAATTTAAGGTGGCACCATAATCTTGTATAATATGTGTAGTTAACTAATTTTCCTCTAAACTTCTTATGTGAGAGTAATTTTTCTGTATTAGTCAAATATAATTCTACTGCAATCAGTAGCTTGTTTATTGTTATGATTTTATTAATACAGTGGACCCCCGGTTAACGATATTTTTTCACTCCAGAAATATGTTCAGGTGCCAGTACTGACCGAATTTGTTCCCATAAGGAATATTGTGAAGTAGATTAGTCCATTTCAGACCCCCAAACATACACGTACAAACGCACTTACATAAATACACTTACATAATTGGTCACATTCGGAGGTGATCGTTATGCGGGGGTCCACTGTATTTTGGACAAATAAGATTAACAACAAAATAAAGAGAGTATTGGGATAGAATAAAGATAGGGTTTTAAATGAATAATATAGCTGATGCATAACTGTAAAATATATAGTAGTATATATAAGAGTTAATTTAAATGAGCACTATATATATATATATATATTGGATAGTAATACTTTTTTCTTTTGTTTTTGCCAGGAGCCAAAAGCAAAACCAGAATCCAAGGTGGCAGACCAATTCTCAGCTTTATTTGGTGAACCCATTAAAAAAATTACTGATCAGAAAAAAACAAATAAAGAGAAACTTCCTAAGGAAAAGGAAAAAGTGCCTAATAAAGTTAATGAGAAGTACAAAGACAAAACTACAGCATCTAAATCCAATGATAAGAAACCCAAAGACAAACACAAAAGTGAGAAAAGTTCATCGTCTTCCTCAAGTGCTACAAACTTGGCTTCTACCAGTAGTTCTGAAGTCAAGGATGAGAAACGGGACAAGGTGAAGGAGAAGAGTCACAAAGACAAGCATAAAAAAGACAGAGATAAAGATAGAGACAAACACAAAAAAGACAAAGACAGAGACAAAGACAGTAAGAAACAGAGAGAAAAGGAAGCAACCAAGCGCACTTCATCACCATCGTCCAAACGTTCTGTTTCCCCGGCATCAAAACGTTCATCATCGCCTGCTTCTAAACGGTCGTTATCTCCCTCGTCTAAACGATCACTATCGCCTGCCAGTAGTATAAAATCAGACTCTAGTGCAAAGAGGAAAAAATGCGAAACAGAAAGTACAAAAGTAAGCATTGAGAAAACTGTAGAAGAAATAAAAGAAAAGAAAAAAGATAAAAAGAAAGATAAGAAAGAAAAACGAAGAGACAAGGAAGATGCGGCATCTGTGGAGGTTGAGAGAGAGAAGCCTGTGGAGAAAGTGGCAGTCAAGACTGAGAATGCCACTAAAATGGCTGCACCCATTACGAAAGATGTGATTCCTGTCAAAAGTGGAGAAAGAAGTCCCATCAAGGAAAGAGTTAAAGTAGAACACAAAGCAAAGAAGGTTGTGCACAAGGAACCTGTTAAGGAGGAGCCTGTGCCTGTTGCTCCTCAAGTTACAGTTAAGGAAAAGAAGGTAAAGGAAAAGCCTGTGCATGTCCCTCTACTGGCACCGCCCAGATCAAGATCTTCATCAAAATCATCATCGCGTAGTCATTCACCCTCACTCTCTGTCTCCAGGTCTCCTTCACCTCCATGTTCACGATCATCCTCAAAATCTTCTAGGTCAAGGAGCCCTCCATCTCCAGCATCAGTAGGACGAGAATCACCGTGCCGATCACGCTCTGCATCTCGATCACCCGTTCGTTCCAAATCCCGATCGCATTCCAAATCAAGTTCTGGATCTCGAAGATCAGTTTCAAGATCTCCATCTGTATCAAGATCAAAATCTAGGTCACCTTCCAGATCACCTTCTCACTCCAGATCACCTTCTAGATCACGATCCAGATCAGTTTCTGATAGCAGATCACAGTCCAGCTCTAAGTCACGATCACCCTCCAGGTCACCAACTGGGTCACCCAGCAGCAGTTCCAGTGGAAGTTCACCATCACGTATGTCAGTGGCAGAGGGTCAATCTCAGGTTCCTGCCACACGTACTGGGCCTCCACGACCTCCACTTGCAACTGGAACAGATTCTAGAGTTACAAATAACCCTCTAAGCATTATGATGGAGGATGTTAGTAGCTCTTCCAGTGAGAGTGAGGAAAGAGGGAGTGCTGATAGCAAAGGACAGATAAAGGTGCCCCTGCGGTCTCCTTCAGATGCCAGTCGATCATCACATTCTGCAGCTGGTCAGCAAGTATCGACAACACCTCGGCAGATTGTGAAGGAGCCAATTATGTCAAGTGATGATGAAGTACCGCCTGTTAAAGATAATTCACGAATTAGTGGCAAGAGAGAGCAGATCACACGAAGACCTCCACAGAGAGAGAAGAGGAAACGACGTTCACAGCAGGACACCAGCCCCTCCACAACCAATGTGCCAGCATCCTCACCCAAGGAGATTACAAAACCACTAAAAGAAGAAGTCAAACAGGAAGAGACAAAAGGAATAAAAGAGGAGTCATCGGCAGCATCCCGGTTAACCCCCGAGTACCTTAAGGAACTAGTTGAGCTGCAACACAAAATCATGAATTCTGTCGATCGTCAGCAGCTGCAGCAGGTTGTAGACATCATAGCAGAACACAGCAGTTTCCAGCTCACTCATGCACATTTCAACTTTGATCTGTGCTCTCTTGATGCTCAAGTTGTGAAGCAACTCCAGGGATGCTTCTCATAGTCATTAATCAAACCATGGATGATCATTTTCCATGGACAAAACTCTTTGTATATTTTTTTTTTCCAAATCCTTGGGCTGTTCAAATCCTAGTGATAGCAACTGTACAGATAACTGTTTATACTGTTGCAGAAGTTGAGTAGAATGATGGTGAAAGTATAAGCAGGAAGGCTTGCTTAATATTTACCTGTGACACTTGGCCCATCTACGTATAGTCTGTGATCTCGGCCCTCTCCTAGTGCAACCCCCTGTACAAGAAGGATAAAAGTCACAATACCGTAGCTGGAACAGTTCACAGTTAAACCAGTTTGAAGAGGAAACTTCAGGATGACATTTTAACACATCCTAGATCAAATTATCAAGTCATAACCTGCAGACAGTTCGGGATGGACCAAACCATCATCTTAAAGTTTCCTTTCCAAACTGGGTTAGTTGTGAAAATTTTTGTAAAGTTATTTATGGTTTCCTGCCTTGTTGCCAGTGTTGCATGACTTGTGTCTTTTATCTAGCCTCTCTTTCTTTATTGTTAACATTTTTTATGAAAATATGAGTCTGTTTATAAGACGTTTTAACACGGTTGCTGTTTTGGTCATTGGACCCTAATCTTTTGTTGAAAAAAAACGCTGTCTAATAATTACTGTTCCTAAATTTTTCTCCACTATTGATTTGAAATCAAAATCTTAGTCATTACATTGCTTCTTTAAATAAATGAATTAATAAAATTCATTGTGACAAACTTTAATGTATCAACTTTACTGTGTGCAATTTTTCCTTTGGCTGCAACTTTTTTTTTTTTTTAATCAGCAAAAGGAATTTCTAAATAGTCATGGTTATTGATACACAAACGTATCAACTTAACTGTGATTGATCTTTGGCCTGCAATGGATGTCTGTATTTATTTAATTATACTTGGAAATTACCCTTGAATCTCAAGAGTTTTATATTGTTTTCCTGCGAGAACTAACTTAAATCATCGTGTTTTGTATATTTGTATAATAATTTATATAGTATGTATAACTTGTGTTTGTAACTGTTTTTCTTTAACTTGTTATTGTTGCTGCAAGACTTGTGTTGAATGTTGTGTATGTGGAACACACACACACACACACACACACACACAATACCTGTGTGAATGTATGTTTGTTGTTTGAAGGTAGAGAAGATTGTGAAAATGATGACAGCAAACCTTTGTGGTGACAACTGTACATTTCAAGGATAAATAAAATGTATTTTCTCATTTTGTCAATTTTTTTTTGATAACCATGCCGCCTGCTGAGCAGTTTTGGTTAGTGACAACAAAAATGTTTGATAATATTTTAAGATAAAACTCAACTAAAATCATATTGCATTTTAATATAAACCTAAATACATTGCAGGGGTCAGACAGTACCTGGGGTCAGATAGTACCTGGGGTCAGATAGTACCTGGGGTCAGACTACCTGGGGTCAGATAGTACCTGGGGTCAGACTACCTGGGGTCAGATAGTACCTGGGATCAGACAGTACCTGGGGTCAGACTACCTGGGGAAGTGAAAGGTAATGATCCAAGGCTCAACCCAAGGAGAGAGGAGTGTAGCTTCAATTTCTTATTCCTCCAAGATGAGCTGTATAATCCTCCGGGTTTAGCGCTTCCCCCTTGATTATAATAATAATCCTCCAAGATGAAGGGAGAAGTGGAGGGGGGGGAGATCTTCATGTTGGTGAAAGGTTTTTGACTCACTGTAAGTTGAATATGAATGTGATATGATAAATAAATAAATAACTAATGTCACTAAATAAATAATTACTGTAACAAAATGTACCAGTATTGAAAAATAAATGAATACAAGTTTATCCTATCAAATGTATAGTGCTGTACATTACAAGAAAGTTTTACAGTACATTAACTTGATTACAGGTACAGTCACTGATGAGCACAGTTCAGCTAACCGCTAATTAGCGAAACTAACTTTTTGTTTGGCGAATTAGCGTTTCGACTAACTTTGGAAACCATTAGCGGACTAATTAGCTTAAGAGTAAGATGTTTATTTTGACATGATACACGGTTGTACAGAGGAATATAATAGTTGGGTGTACATGCCAAAAGCCCCTTTGTACGCAGAGCATTTCGCTAACTTTGAGTCCACTAAAAAAAGATTCATACGTTGTTGGTAGTCAGAAAGCTGCAGCAGCATCACTAATGAGGATGAAAAAGATGACTTCTTTCCAGGACAGCAGAAGCCACAGGTCACTGAAGTCGAAGGCACAAAGCATGGTGAAGACCTGGCTGGAGACCGGCATGAAGGAGGTCATGAGTGAAGTAGCCTTCTTGGGTGAGCAGGTCTTGATCAACCTATTCATTAAGTACAATACTGCCATCCCATCCAGTGCTGCAGTTGAGTGCCTATTCTCTATAGGCAAAGAGATCTTGAGGGGTCAAGAGAGCCACCCTGCCAGATGGAAACTTTGAGAGGCTGATGCTCACGAAGGTCAACCAGCATCACATCAAAGTGATGGAGAAGGCCCAGCCAGAGTAGTAATCAGCCCAGCCATCATCTGACCTTGGCATGATACCCATGCTATGCATTTTGTACAGTAAATAAAGTGTATGTTGGATTTAAACTGATGTTTGATTTTATTTGTTCATCTATTTGTGTGGACCTGTATGTTTGTATGTCTATATCACTGGTGCAGTGATAAGTTGGCCTCAAGGTTTCAACTTTAAGCATGATTCTCAACTACTTGTTTGTAGTTTATTGATTTCAAAATCTAAATTAAGTTAAATGCAAACATAAACAGAAACAGAATAAAGTGAATGAATACAATGAGTAACTGTAACTAATGAAGAAAACAGTCAAATAACTAACTCAGTGTGTTCAGGTGCTATGGGGATTCAGTACAGCGATAAATGTGTCCTTGTTGGTCACTCGTGTTTTATCACAAAATTAAATAATTGGTATTTTGGCACTAGTGGCACTTGATCATTATATGACCCTGGTATTCTATATCTTATTAGGAAGTTCTCCAAGTCTGTTCTAAAAGTCTTAAAAGTAAAAGACCAAACAACTAAACCGAATCTGAATTCACATGAAAAAGTTAGCAGTTAGCGTTTAGTGTTAGCTTCCGCTAATTTTTTCAACCGTTTAGCAGTTTAACGTTAGCAGAGCTAATTTTTTAGTTAGTGGTTAGTGAAGCTATCTTTTCAGTTAGCTGTGCCCACCAATGGGCACAGTACAGGCTTAGTACGTACTTCTTTTTTTGCTATAATAACGGGTACAGTACATGTACAGTACAGTACATGTAGTGATATGTTGTACAGGTACTCACCATTAATGTAGTCAGTTAAAAACACACCAGGTCTGGAAGAGATCAAAATTCAAAGCTTGATGACTAGTGAATGTGTAGTTCTGGTGTACCATCGTGAAGCTGAAATATTAAGTCAAACCATGGTAAAAGGAGCATCAGTATAGAGAGGTATCTTAATTCTTGCATTGTGGATCCCTGAGTGAGGTACAAGGGATGGCTCTTGATCTAAGCAACTGGAGCTAGCCAGCCCTCTTCTTTGCAGGCAAAAACACTTTCTCTGGATGTGTTTGCTTGGACTTCATCGTCTTTCTGCAACATTGCAAGCTCCTAATGTGTTGAATGCAACATGGAAGGCCTAGAGCTGTCATTCAACTCCCCCTTGGTGGTTTTGCATCTTGTATCACTTGTTTATTATTTTTCCATAATAGTAACATATGCTTAACAATTAAAAAAATGGGTAAAATTATTTACAAACATTATCCCACAGTACTGTGTACTTTAATGCAGAGTGCACAGGTTGTGATCCTGTTGTGGACTGAGAGATAATGTATGCTATTATTGTTGAAGAGATTGGTATATTAGTGTCTATGTGATAACTTGTGGAGGTCTACTCTAGTGTCTATATAACTTGTGGAGGTCTACTCTAGTGTCTATATAACTTGTGGAGGTCTACTCTAGTGTCTATATAACTTGTGGAGGTCTACTCTAGTGTCTATATAACTTGTGGAGGTCTACTCTAGTGTCTATATAACTTGTGGAGGTCTACTCTAGTGTCTATATAACTTGTGGAGGTCTACTCTAGTGTCTATATAACTTGTGGAGGTCTACTCTAGTGTCTATGTGATAACTTGTGGAGGTCTACTCTAGTGTCTATGTGATAACTTGTGGAGGTCTACTCTAGTGTCTATGTGATAACTTGTGGAGGTCTACTCTAGTGTCTATGTGATAACTTGTGGAGGTCTACTCTAGTTGTGGAAAATTGCATTTATCTGAATGTAACTAATTATGTACATAACAGTAAATGATAACAAAGATAATTATTATTTATCAATGTTACAAAGACAAGTAGGAATTTGGGACACCTAGGTCGCAAAAAATGTCCCCCTTCGATACCTACCACTGTCATAACCACAAGTTGCTCTGGACCTATTAATTAAATGAAATATACATACACCAGGAATTCTGGTAAATATTTAAATTTGTGGACTGTATATTAAAAATTAAAGAATAATTATAGATATACACAATTACATAACAGAAAGAGAATGTCTTAATATCACTCACCAATTTGACTGGATATTAAGTTGTATCTTACTCAGAAAAACCTCACTAACTAAATTTATGGAAACACTGGCCAGAATTATACACAAATCTAGAGAGCTTATCTGAGGTTCCTGGAGCTGTCTTGTCCAGTCGTCCGATATCTCAAGTTATGCAGGAATGCATATCCAACAATTTTGCCTCCTATTTGAGAGGTGTCAATCCAATTTTAACCTCTAGAGCACGAAAAATTCTTCCCATTATATTAACGTTGTATCCAATTCAAAACCAAGATGGCGAGTCTCCCGTCTGCGCAGACGCAGGCTTTCCGTTTTCTATGACATAAATATTATTAAATACAGTATGGCCATCTATTTACATATAAATACTGAATTTCTGGAAAATATATACAGTATTTTCCACACTAGTGTCTATGTGATAACTTGTGGAGGTCGACTCTAATTCGATTAAAATGTTGAACTTGGCCTCGCTATGCTCTGTTGCAAGAGCATGCAGTGATGCAGGGAGGACTGACTTGTGCAACACCAGGACAACTCTCCTGGATCATCTAATTTATATAGAGAATAATGGAGAAACTATACTGTTGGTAGTCTTTCTGATCCTCTCTCTCTCTCTCTCTCTCTCTCTCTCTCTCTCTCTCTCTCTCTCTCTCTCTCTCTCTCTCACCTTCTCCCTCTCCTTCCCCCTGCCTTGCTCCCCTACAAACATTCTCCCCAATAAAAAAACCGGTGAGTGAGTGTTGTTATGAGAGGGCAGATTCATTGTGTTTTAGTGTTGTGATTTGCATACTGGTCAGCTGTGATGAGTTGCAGAGGAGGAGGAGGAAGAGGTGGAGAAGAAGGAGAAAGAGGAGGAGATGGGGAGTAGGTGGGGAAGGGAAGAGGAGGTAATAACAATAATAACTATATGATAACACTAATAAGAGGGAGGGTGAGTAAGTTTATTCTGGTACACACAAATACAGTTACATAGATTATCACACATAGGAGCAGAAGGGAGGGAAGGAAGGAGGGAAGGAAGGAGGGAAGGAAGAAGGGAAGGAAGGAGGGAGGGGAAAGGCAGCTCCGGTTCCTGAGATCAAGTTCATGAAGGAGGAACCACAGTCAATGTAAAGAGATCGTGTCCACACCTGGTCTGCCCACCACCCACCCTGCCCACAACCCACCCTGCCCACAACCCACCACCCACCCTGCCCACAACCCACCACCCACCCATCATACAGCTGGTGTGTGTTCTGTATGAATGTATTCGTGTGAGTCATCATGTATGTAAAGTATAACTGGTAACTCAGAAGTTATCACAAAGTGATAACCTCTGATAACAAGACTTTTACACACTTCTTAATGAGTGTACTGGTGGGGTTAGAACCCACACTGACGGCAATTGTTTAAGTCTTCACCTTGACTGTAACTTTAAATTTCAAGCATACATCCAACACATAGCCAAGGAAGTCTCCAAAACAGCAGACATCCTCTCCAGAATATGGTACTATGTACCTCAAACAGCATTACGTACACTATACCACTCTTTAATGTCTCCTTATTTCACCTATGATATCTGTGATACGACTAATTACCACCATTAATAACCCAATTATAAGATGCTGTCTAGATGACCACCAGTTCCTGCGCCAGACAACACACACCTCTCTTCAAATCTGAACTTAATATACAAAATATGCACTTATAATCGTATCTAATATATATATATATATATATATATATATATATATATATATATATATATATATATATATATATATATATATATATATAT